CTACTTATTTGGATAAATATCATAGAAGAAAGATTGCTAATTCATATGGTAAGACTAAGTTTAGCTTTGTAAAAAACTGCCAAATTATCTTCCAAGGTGGTTGATCCATTTTCCATTTCTATTGGCAATGAATAATCAGGGTTCCTATTACTAGACATCTTTTCAGCATTTTGAATTTTAGCCATTCAGATAGGTGTATACTGGTATCTCATTATTTTAATTTGCAATTTCCTAATTGCTATAGGATGTTGAGCAAATTTGCATATGCTTGTTATCTATGTATCTTTTGTGAGGTGTTCTGTTCAGATTTTACGTCTGTTTTTTGATTGGATTGTTTGCCTTTTACTGTTAAGTGTTAAGAATTCTTTGTATATTTAAGAGTATTTTGCATATGTGTTTTGCAAACAATTTTCTCCTAGTCTATGGCCAGTCTTTTTAGCACTTTTTAACACTTAAGATTTTTTTTGCACAGCAGAAATTTTTAATGATGTCTAACTTAACAGGTTTTATATTTCATGGATCATGCTTTTGAGGTTTCTTAAGAAATCATTGCCAAACCCAAAGTTACGTAGATTTTCTTCTGTATTATCTACTAGAAGTTTTTTAGTTTTGCATTGTATAGTTTGGTCTATGATGTATCTTGAATATTTTTAAAAATTTAAAGCTTGTCCCTAGATTCATTTTCTTAATGTGGATATCCAGTAGTTCTAGCTACATTTTTTGAGTGATACCTTTATTCATTGAATTATATTATAGTAGTTCCTTTGTAAAAGATCAGTTGGCTCTATTTATGTGGATCTGTTTCTAAGCACTCTATTCTTTTTCACTGATTTATTGTTTTTGATAATACAAAGAGTCTTGATTATCCTTGTAGTAAATCTTGAAGTAAGAGTGTTAGTGCTCCAACTTCTTCATCCTCAGTATTGTGTTGACTTATGTTGGGTCATTTGCCTTTTTATATGAATTCAGAATCAGGCAATATCTACAAAATAACACGCTGAGATTTTGATTGATACAGCAATGATTCTATAGCTTGAGTTTGGAATAATTGTCATCTTAACAGTATGAGTGTTCCTATCTATGAATATGGAATATTCATTTATTTAGTTCCTTAATTTCTTTCATCAGTTTTTTAGTTCTCTTATAACTGTTACACATTTTTTTAAGATTTATTCATTAGTGCTTCTTTATATGCTAAATGGTTATGTGTTTTTTAATTTTAATTTTATATTGTTCATTGCTGGTATATAGGAAAGAACTTGACTATTTTATGTTAACCTTGTAGTTGCAACCCTGGCTATAATTACTTATTCCAGGAGTTCTTTGTTGTTGATTCTTTTGGAGTTTTAGATAGTCAACCATGTTATCTGCAAACAAAAATGGTGTTATTTCTTCTTTTTTAATCTGTATACCTTTTATTTTTCTTGACTTGTTCCATTAGCTAGGATTTCCAGTACAATATTGAAAATAGCAGTGAGAACAGATATGTTTTTGACAGATGTTCCTATCAAGTTGAATAAATTCCTTTCTCTTCCTAGTTTGCTGTGAATGGTATTAACTTTTTTTTAGTACTTTTTTTGCATCTACTGACATGATCAATATGATTTTTCTTCTGTAACCTGTTGATGTGTAATGGCTTATATTACCTGATTTTGCAATGTTGAGATAGCCTTGCATGCATAGGATAAACCTCAGTTGATCATGTTGTATAATTTCATACATTATTGTATTTGATATTATAGTGTTTTGTTGAGGATGTTTGCTTTTATGTTCATGAGAGATACTACTATGTGATTTTCCTTTCTTATAATGTCTTTATGAGATTTTGGTAGTAGGGTATTGCCTCATAGAATGAGTTAGGAACTCTGTCCTGTTACTGTATTTTCTAGAAGACATAGTAGAGAATTAGTATCACTTCCTATTTAAATGTTTGGTAGAATTCACCAAGTGAAACCATCTGTGCCTGATGCTTTCTGTTTTAGAAGATTATTATGAATTCAGTTTAACAGGTATGTTTTGCAAATCTGATGTTTTAGGATTTTGTTTGTTATCTTATTTGCTTTCATACAGTTCATAGCATTTTTTTTATGCATTTTCTTATTAATACTTCTAATTTCTTTGGGGTCAGTAGTTAAGCTCTTTTTCATTATGGATTTTAGTAATAACCTTTTTTTATTTAATGGTTGTTTTAGATAAACATTTCTAATTTTGTTGATCTTTTAAAGAAACAAATTTTGGTTTTATGTATATTCTTTTTTCTATTCTCTTTTATTGTGCATCTATTCCTTATTTCTTTAATTCCCTTTGTTTCTCCCCCTAGTTTTCTTTTTTAAATATTTATTTATTTATTTATTTATTTATTTATTTATTTATTTATTTATTTATTTATTTATTTATGAGAGACACAGAGAGAGGAAGAGACACAGGCAGAGGGAGAAGCAGGCTCCATGCAGGGAGCCCGATGTGGGATCAATCCTGGGACTCCAGGATCACACCCTGGGTTGAAGGCAGGTGCTAAACCACTGAGCCACCCAGGGATCCCCATGTTTTTGTTATTGATTTCTAATTCAGTATCATGGGTGGAAGATATACTTTATATGATTTTAATTTCTGTAAATCTATTGAGATTTATTTCATAGCCTAAGTTGTGTTCTCCTCTGGAGAATGTTTTGTGTACTTGAGAAGAATATGTATTTTGCTACTACTGGTTAGAGTTTTTATTGATGTCTTTGATCTGGGAGGTTTATAATGTTGTTCACATCTTCTGCTTTTTGTTGAACATCTTCCTAGTTTTATCTACTACCAAAAGTGGTTTGAAGGTTACTGATTACTGTTAAATTGTCAGTTTTTACTTCATGTATTTTGGAACTCTGTTTTTAGGTGCATTTTATGTCATTGAAGCATTTTTATGATAGCTTTAAAATTCATGTAGGATAATTCCAACATCTTTGACATCTTATTAGTGCTTTTTTATGGTATTTTCTCTTTTAAGTTGAATATCCTTCATTCTTGTTAGGATGAATAAGTTTTTATTGTTCTCTGGTAATTTGTGGTTGACATTTTGGTTCTTGGGTACTTGGTGAACTGGAATTTAGTCATGGTTCTATTCACACGCATGGTATGTGCAAGCTCCCACTAGGTGTAAGGGGGGAAGAGCTTTTGTTCCTGCTGTGTTGAGTGGTAGTCAGGGTCTGATTATACATTGCCTCTGCAAATGCCTGTCAACTAGTATAGAGTGGACCACAGCTAATAAATGCCACAATGATAGTCACAATTAGTCAAGGACCTAATCACACTCACACCCTCCCAGGGCAACTGTCAGCCAGGAGATGAGGCTTTATTTCTGGGCTATAATGGCAGTGTTGCATTCACATCTTTGTAGGCTACACACTATTGATGCGCCTGGATTGGTAGTCAAATTTCTTATACAGCAGCTGAATGTACTGATTGTTCGGGAAAAGGGACATTCATTGCCTCCTTATTCCTGGGCTGGGATTATAGGGCTGTGCACACACAAAGTCTTTGAATATATATACTGGCAAGGGAGTGATGCTGCTGGTTATTGTGCAGAATGGTGTGGATGTTCAGGTAATGTAGAGCTGGCATTGTCAATAGGGCTTTTTGTTCCACATGGCCACAGCCTTTTCAGCCCTTTGTGTGAGGAAAACGGGTTGTGGAGGGTGTTTTCTTGTTATTAGTGAGTGGTGTGTTTATTTGGTAGTTTGCATCTGGTGGCATTTCATTTTGCAAGGTTCTCTGGTATTCAGGCTGGAGTCTAAAACAAAAACAAAACCCAATTCTCCTCCAAGGAAGTCACTGCTGAGGTAGGTTCCTCAAGTCCCAAGGTCCATAAATAGTTTGCCCTCATTTCTCCAAGTTTCAGATTCTTAAGTGTGTTCCATATATTTATCCCCATAGACTTCATGCTTAATAAGTGAGGAGGAATAGGGCAAAATACGTGTACTTCATCATATCCAGAATGATGTTTTGGGGTTTTTGTATCTGCTCTTTTGCATGTAGGAATTTTGGGGGTTGTTTTTTTTTCCTGCTGCTAAGATTCTTTTGTTATTACTCATTTTAATTGGTTGGATTATGATTGTTTTGGTGTGATTTGCTTGGATGAGTTGAACTTCTTGGATGTTTAGGTTTAGTTTTCACCAAATTTGGAAAACTTATTTCTTTAAATGCCTTTTTGTTCCTGCTCATTCATTTTGCTCTCTTCCAGGGGTCCCAGTTACACATAATTAGATTGATTGCAGTTATCCTGTAGTCTTCTGTTATTTAATTTACTTTTCTTAGTCTGTTTTTCTGTTTCAAGCTGTAGTTTTTGTTGCTATGTTTTTAAGTTTACTAATGTTTTCTTTCAATCTCACCAGTTGTATTTATAAATCTTAGAATTTTTATCTCTAGAATTTTGTTTAGGTCTTTTTAATATCCTTCACATCTTAACATGATCAGTCTCCTCTTCCTTCTTGGGCATGTGGAAAATAGTTGATGGTCGTACTGCCAGTCTATTTCCAAATACAAAATCTAGCAAATCAAATATAAAACCTATTTTTGTCATTTCTGGATGTGTTTATATTGATTTTTCTCATTATATTCACGTTTTCCTGCATTTTTACACTCCTGTTTTTGTTTTCTTATCAAGCACACATCTTAAACCTTCTATGTGCTTGATATTTTTGTATTTCTATAAATATACTCAAGGTTTGTTCTGGAATCTATATTACCTGGTAACAGTTTAATCTATGTTACCTGTTCCTATTAAGATTTACTTTAAACTTTATTAGGTGGGACCAAGAAGCCTTTAGTACTAACTTGCTTCTCTACCGAGGCAGTAACTTTTTAAGTAATCTAACCAGTGCCCTGTATATTATGAAGCTTACCACTCTGGCTGATGGGGACACAAACTATTCCTGGCTGTGTGGGTTCCCAAGGGTTACCTGTACTTTTTCTAAGCATTTCTTTTGCTGACCTCAGGTGTTTACTTCCATGCACAGATCACGACTTGCTCTAGTAGTCTGCCTTGCAAACTAGCTATCTCTGCCTCCCTGGACTCTCATCTTCACCTTGGCATCACGAGGCTCCCCCCTGCATTCCTTCTCCCTGTGCTGACATGTGGAAATGCCTACTAGGAAGTAAGTGGAGTTAAAAGTGTGGATGTGACATTTGTTTACACTTTGTTAGGCATTTTGTTATCTGATGTTCAGTATCTGGAAACAACTGCTTGTATTTTACCTAGTGTTTTGTTACTTTAGGCAGGAAGGTAAATCCAGTCTCTATTTTCCATTTTGGCTAGAAATAATATATTTTTTAAAGGTTCTAGACATACAGAAAATTTTTAAGGAAAAAATTTCCATACATTCTTCTCCCAGTTTGTGTAATACTAACATATTACCATGGTACAATGATCAAAACCAGGATATTAACATTGGCGCACTACTATCAATTAAAGTACTGGCTCTTTTTTTTTTTTTAAGATTTTATTTATTCATTTTAGAGACAGAGCAGGGGGCAGGAGAAGAGGGAGAGAGATAACCAGATTCATGTTGAGCAGAGCCCCATGTGGGGCTCAGTCCTAAAACCCTAAGATCATGACCTGAGCTGAAATCAAGTGTTGGGCACTTGACTAAGCCATCTACACACCCCTAAAGTACGGGCTTTATTTAGATTTCACAAGTTTTTTCTACTAATGTTCCAAAGATCAAATACAAATTCCTGCACTGTTTTCAGTTGTTAAGTTTCCTTAGTCTCCTCCAATCTTTTGAGAGTTTTTCACACTACCCTTGCCACTCATGACCTTTGAAGGTCATGGATTTCTGGAAGGTTCATTTTCAGTCTGCAGTTTCCTTCACGATTACATTATAGTTACACTTTTTTAAAGTCAGAATACTACTCATGTGGTATACCCTTCCTAGTGCCTCACTTTGGGTAGTATATATATCCCAATATCTTACTACTGGTGATCATTTGATGAAGGTGGTAGGTATATGGAATGTTTTCTCCTTTTAATTATGTATTTGAGATAGATACTTTGATACAATTCTCTAATTGCCTGTTTCTCTTTAAATTTTCACCTTCAGATTTAGTATCCATTGATGAATTTTGCATATAATTTTAACTGTTATTAGAGTGATTTCCTATTTGCCTCATTCCCTTTACACTTATTAACTAGAATTCTTCACCATTAAACTGAAAAAGGATTTTATCATTGGAAGATAATTTCATAGTTCACTGCATCAATAAACAGGATAGGTCTGGAATATTCTCTTGTATTTTGGGGAAAAGCCACCAAAGCTTCTAAGTAGACTTGGGAAAATGTGAAAGGATGAAGGACCAAATGAGAATGGAAATGTAAGTTTTATTAATTTGAACACCAAATAGAAGTAGGAAAAAAAAGTAGCAGCAATAATTGCATAATTGTTTATTGTACCAGCAGTCTGTGAAATGACAGGAGTTCTTAACAAGGTTAAAGAAAAATGTTAATGTAATTTGACCAAAATATAGTTGTAATTACAATAAGGGAGGCATAATAAGGATGTGTTGTTGTATTTATTAAGTTTTAATCATTTCAAAAAGTAAGTGCCAAGTACATGGTTATTTTGTTTCTGTTTTTAATTTTTAAGTGTCTGTGTAAGGTTTAGACAGCTTACTGTTTTAATCTGTTCAAGCCAGCAAAAGAAAAAAAAAACAAAAAAAGTAAGGCACACAGTTCTAAAGTATTACACCAAGAAGAGATTGATGGTATTCAATCAGTATTGATGGTAACTCAGAATAACAAAATATAATGGGATGAGAGAGCAAAATCAGCAGTGTGGTCACATTATATATTTAAGTAAGTAGAATGAATATTAATAATGACTATAATAGAGTTGAACTATTTAAAAGATATGAAATCGCATATATTCTAATAAAAAGGGTAACAGACTCATTCTCTTATTTTGTAGCATATGAAATACCTACCGAGTATATATTTTTTAAAAGTGCTAATTTAAGTAAAATACTAATCAGGAATAAAGAAAACAGCTAAATATATCCAGTAAGAAAATGGCTTACTATTACTGGGTAATGCAAAACTTTAAAAATTCCAAAAATTCTAGGGAAGACTAAATTGAAAAGTAAAAATCTAATATGTGATAGTGACATAAATGTATCTAAACAATAGGTAAATTTTCTTATAAAAATCTAATAACTAGTGTGGCTCATAATTAACATTAACTGCATAACTAGGTCAGCTCTCCGTACTAAAGAAATAGGTAGACAGTTAAGATTGCAACTTTTTCTCTGTTCACTAATTTTTTCTTTTGCTTTTCCTTTCCTTTCTAAAAATGAAAGTTCTGTTTATTATTAAGCTGCCAAAACCCAGCAAGGTAACACTGGCAGGGAATAAAAAAGTATAAATATATAAAATCCAGTTGAAACCATGGTGGTAATAAAGTTATAAACTCTCTAAATACAAGTTTACTGTTTATTTTTTAAATACTATGAGTTTTTTTTTAAAAGATTTTATTTGACACAGAGACAGCACAAGTAGGCAGAGTAGCAGGCTGAAGAGATGGCAAAGCAGGCTCTCCACCAAGCAGAGAGCCCGATGTGGGGCTCAATCCCAGGACTCTGGGATCATGACTTGATCTGAAGGTAGACACTTAACCAACTGAGCCACTAAGTTTATAATTATTGCCAAAAGTTGCAGATTTCCCCTTCCTTTAATAAACCTAAGAGACAGATAAGAATGGCTTAATTTTACAAAATATTTAAAAGTGCCTCTTTACTTTGGATCCTCATTGATACTGCCTAGAGGTCAAAGGCTTTTTAAAGGAATTGTGTTGTAGTAGGTATTTAGGCAAGTCTGTCATGTCAAAACAGAAATTTTAAAAGAAACCATTTGATGACAATGGAAAGGAGATTACTCATGTACCATTAAAACAGACAATAGAAAATGAAACAAAAAAATCTACATAAATACCATGCAGGGCCATAAGACTTTAAAACCACAAAGGATGTGACTGGAAGTTTTAACTCTCTAGAGGAGGAAAAAGTACATCATATATAACAATTTATAATGCAAAAGATTTATTTGAAAAATATTACAAATTAGTAAGCAAAAAAAACGGAATAAACAAAATTGTAAACAAAACATGCCTGTAAAAGAAATTCATGTGAAACTGACTCTAATTAGTGAAACACATTTTCCATACGTATCAGAAATCAATAGGGACCATCCTATTTAAACTGATAATGACTGTTAACTGATACATAAGGGAGAAATATTTGGCACTATCTAACAAAACAAAGTACACATCACCTATCACTGAGTACTTCTACTTCTAAATAGAGTGGCCAGGAAGTCTGGAAACAAAAAAAGAGCAACATAATCCCCTTGATTACTTTTTATACTGCATGGACTTTCCCAGTGAAACTCAGAAACAAAAGGCTCTTGGTATGTGTCTTTCATTCAAAAGACAAAACACCAGTACAACTTTTTTGATTATTAAGTAAGGTGCTTTCCCACACTAAAGGCACTCCCACATTCCTTACATTCATAGGGTTTCTTACCAGTATGAATTCTCTGATGTTTTGTAAAGGATGAACTATGTCTAAAGGCCTTCCCACATGCCTTGCACTCATAAGGTTTCTCTCCAGTATGAATTCTCTGATGTTCAGTAAGGGCTGAACTATGTCTAAAAGCCTTCCCACATACCTTACATTCATAAGGTTTTTCACCACTGTGAATCCTCTGATGTTGAATAAGTGCTGATGTAAGTCTAAAGAATTTTCCACATTCTTTACATTCGTAAGGTTTCTGACCACTGTGAATTCTCTGATGTCGAGTAAGTTCACTACCTACTCCAAAAGCTTTCCCACATTCCTTGCACTTATAGGGTTTCTCACCAGTATGAATTCTCTGATGTCTGGTTAGGGATGAACTGTTTCTAAAGACCTTTCCACATGCCTTGCATTCATAAGGTTTCTTTCCGGTATGAATTCTCTGATGTCGAGCAAGTTCTCTACAGACTCCAAAGGTCTTCCCGCATTCTTTACATGCATAAGGTTTCTCACCTGTATGAATTCTCTGATGTTCAATAAGCTGTGAACTAATTCTAAAGACTTTCTCACACTGTATACATTTGTATGGTTTCTCACCAGTATGAATTCTCTGATGTTCAGTTAGCTGTGAATGGAACCTAAAGTTCTTGCCACATTCCATACATTTGTAAGGTTTCTCATCAGTATGGATTTTCTGGTGTCGAGTAAGTTGTGCATGCACTCTAAAGAATTTTCCACAGAAAGTGCATTCATAGGGTTTCTCACCATCATTAATTATTTGAAGTGGAGTTATTTCTTCAACTCTTCTAATGGTCTTTTCATATTCCTTACATTTATAGCACCTTTGATCATCATGCATTTTACGGTGTATAGTAAGGTCTTCATAAAAACTAAATGCATTCTCATATTCTATATATTTACAAGGTTTCACATCACTGTGTATACTCAGTTGCAGGGTATGTGGTTCATCTTCAAAGGTCTTCCAATATGCATTATATTGATATGTTTTCTCACCAGTATGTATTCTTTCATATTCATCAAAATTTAAGTCACAGCTAACAACCTTCCCATAGTCCTTACATTCATAGAGCTTCTTGCTATCATGAATTCTCTGATGTGATATAAGAGACTTATGTTTATAATTGGGCATTTTTTCAGAGATGATTTTCATTTGGCTGAAATATCCCACTTCAGGTCTTTGTATTTCAGTCTGGCTTTTGCTTTGCCAGTCATTTCTGAAAATGCAGCTCTCAAGACCAATGAATTTATTTTCTGTTACTTTCCCTTGAGAGCCATTGTTTTCAACGTCCTTTCCAGTAGATAAACACTTGGTGTCATATTTGGACTCCAAATCTGAAAGAGAGGGGAAATGAAAAACAATTTTTGTTTTCATGTGCCGTAGAAATGAAACATTTATACAATGCAGAGGAGAAAAACTGCAAGTATAAACAATACAAGTAAATGATTAAAATATCTCAATTAAGTTTTAAGAAAGATCAGAGAATGATGAAAGCATAATGTAAGATTGTGAAGTCTGTGATAAAAGAAACAGATGAAGTCAGTGGGTCTGACATTTAGGTGCTGATCATCACTTAATAAGCTTGTCTAGTACTAATGTTTGGGAACCAATCCAAATAAACTGACCTACATCTATAGATGTAGAATTTGTTACCAATATCATGTATAGATACAACTAACGCAAATCATAATTTGATAATCTATACGTACTAACAATTTTGGTTTTGTTTTTTGAGTAGGCTCCAAGCCCATTGTGGAGCCCAATATAGGGCTTAAACTCATGATCCTGTGATCAAGACCTAAACTGAGATGAAGAGTTGGACACCTAATTGAGTGAGCCACCCTGGGACCCCGGGTTTATTTTTTTAACAACAGAATCCAAATGCTTTACTGTGGATAAGGAGCTTGTAAGACCTAGTCTTAATCCATTATCCCTTTTCACCTAATCTTTTTTTCACCTCTTACAGCAAATACAGTTCCTACCCATAGGATGTTTCATTCTCAGAAATGGGTTCTTTATATGCTACTCACATTTTACTGTGCAGATCTAAAAGTTACTACCCTCAAAAACAAGGTACTGACTGTAAGCTCATATTTATGTTTCTGTTCCAATATCTAGTTGCTTGCCCTCACATTCTTCATTCTTTAATTATGTATTCAGTAATTTTCTGTTATACTATTTAGCCTTATTCCTTAAATTCCAAAAGGAAAAATGTAATCATTATATGACATTGAAATAACAAGCCCCAATGGACATAACAGTTGATAATTACAGGGAAAATAAATCACTAGATGAAAGGAATCTAAGTAAGACAAAAAGGAATATAACAGTGACTGGTAAACACAATTGATCATAAAAATATTATGTAAGTATAAGACAAATGCAGTGGTTTTAGTAATGTCTCCATGCCTTCCAACTCTCACACAGTGATTTATACACACACACAGACACACACACACACACGAGTTCTTATGAACAGTTTTTTCTAATGGACTCTCCACTTACACATACTGTCTCATCATTGCTGTTAGTTCCTTGCTGTGCAGAACCATGGTTTTCTTCACATGTTAATAAAGATGAGGAATTTTATTTACTGTTTTTCATTAGCTTTTTCACTATCATATATCTATCCTGCTGAAATCCTAGTCTATATTTAAATGTTTTCCTTCATGCTCTTTCCCAGATACCTTTCCATTTATCTGTACTCAAACCCAATCATTGTCATATTCCACAAGGCAATATCAGTATTTTAGATACTATAGTAGGTATAAATCATACTATAAGGCTTACACAGTCCTGAAAGGGGAATAAGCTAACAGAATGATATAGAAAAGGTGGCAGTATAGATGGGCAAGATGGAAGGCACTTTGTAATAAAGTATCTGTTGAACACTGGCTAGAGACTGGCAGGAAGATAATGGGATAACCGGAGGAAAATCCAAAACAAATGATAAACATTGCATGATATAGGGCAAAAATAATTTCCTGTGACTCAATTATGTTATATGAAACAAAAGTATAATCAATATTTGATCATAATAATAAAACTGTAAATGAATGCCAGTATCAGTAAATCAAAAAGCACTTCTACCTAGAAATGATAAAACTGTCTACCAAATGTAGAAATATAATTGAAATTACAAAAATTTCAGAAAACAATCACATTGAAAATACAGTTGACCCTTGAAACTGGGGATAGGGTGCCGATACCTGCACAATCAAAAATCCTCATATAACTTTTGACTCCCCCCAAAACTATTTATAGCCTACTATTGACTGGAAGCCTTTCCAATAACAAACAGTTGATTAACATATATTGTACATGTTGTATGATACATATTATGTACTATATTCATACAATAAACTAAAAAAAGAAGATGTTAAGAACTTAAGAAAAAATACAGTATTGTACTACCTGCATCAAAAAATTCATGTGTAAGTTGACCCACACAGTTCAAACCTGTGTTGTTGAAGGGTCAGTTGTAAAAAATTAAAGTAAGTAATGTATACTTTTTTTTTAAAGATTTATTTTTATTTATTAATGATAGACATATATATATATATAGAGAGAGAGAGAGAGGCAGAGACACAGGCAGAGGGAGAAGCAGGCTCCATGCTGGGAGCCCGACGCAGGACTCGATCCCGGGACTCCAGGATCGTGCCCCAGGCCAGAGGCAGGTGCGAAACCGCTGAGCCACCCAGGTATTCCAGTAATGTATATTTTTTAAGATGGCTATGCTAATGAATTTGAAAATGTTGACAAATGGTGAGTTATTTTCTAGGTAAATAGATATTAAAAACCCCAAAAGCCATAACAATTGAAAAAGAGCAATTTGCTAGACAGATAAAACTGTTAGAGACTCACCTCCCATGAAACAGAAAATCATAAGCATGCCTGTTGCTCAGGTTGTGGTAATAAAACATGTAATGAGCTAAAGCTCCTAAAACAAAGATCCAAGCCATGATCTGCTGTAGGGAAGGGAGAAGATATGCCCTTGACTGTTGTGACAGTATGCAAGAAATCTGAATATATACACACTACTTAACAGTGTGAGGGTGGAAGGCATGGAGACATGATTTAACTGTTGCATTATTCTTATAGGACACACAAATCACCTGAAGGAGCTAATGAGACCACCATTTTGATAATACAAAAATCAAAGGAAGGGGAAAAAAACTTTATGTACTAAAATGCTAAGTAAATAAGTAAAAATAATACCTAGTATTGATTTTTAAAACTACAACAGAAACCGTAAAACTTAGAAGACTTAAAAGAGCAGAAGAATACACTCTTCATCAATTCAAGTGTCTGATCTGGAATAGGGAAAATATAGAGTGAGCCTGGGAAATTCTCAACAAGCAAGAATAAGTTTAATGATTAAAGAATGGACTCAGAGGTATGCAAAAATCACCATAAGAAATTTCTTGATATCCATACAACCAGGCATCAAGAATCCACACTGGTGAGCCTAAGTAAACTGAACCAATGAAAATTAATCCATCATGAGACATAAACAAGAAAAAGTCAGAAAATTTCAGATGCACCATTTTAAGTCACTAGTTATAACTGGATGAAGAACATAAATACCCTTGCTAGTAACAGAACATGTGGGCAACTAATAAATACAGAAGGAATGACGGCTTTAGAAAACATTGATATAAATGTTGTGTGTGTGTCTGTGTGTGTGTGTCTCATGAATAAATAAAATCTTTATTTTTTTTAAAGAATATTTATTCATTCATTCATTCATTCATTCATTCATTCATTTATTTATTTATTTATTTATGATAGACATAGAAAAAGAGAGAGGCAGAGACACAGGAGGAGAAGCAGGCTCCACGCTGGGAGCCCAACGTGGGACTCCATTCCAGGACTCCAGGATCGTGCCTTGGGCTGAAGGCAGGCGCCAAACCGCTGAGCCACTCAGGGATCCCCAATAAAATCTTTAAAAAAAAAGTGGGATCCCTGGGTGGCTCAGCGGTTTGGCGCCTGCCTTCAGCCCAGGGTATAATCCTGGAGTCCCGGGATCAAGTCCCACATTGGGCTCCCTGCGTGGAGCCTGCTTCTCCCTCTGCCTGTGTCTCTGCCTCTCTCTCTCTTTCTCTCTGTCTCTCTGTGTCTATCATGAATAAATAAATGAAATCTTTTTTAAAAATGATATAAATGAAGATTTTTAATTGTAGAAATCATTAGGTAAATTGATAAGGAACTACATATTTATAGGATGACAAGGTAAGACCACAGAGATTTTTCTTTTTTTAAATTTTAAGTAGGCTCCCACAGGGCTTGAACTCAAAACCCTGAGATCAAATTCTGAGCTAAGACCAAAAGTATGATGCTTAACCAACTAAACCACTCAAGTGCCCCTCACAGAGATTTCTTTCTTACTATACTGTGTGAACTCGCTCTTTCTCCATTATTCTTTATTCTTTTTGTTTTACCTTTCCTTATAGCACTTATCACTACATATGATACATTTTCTAATTATTTGTTTTCCTGTTTATGATACGTCTCACTAGTGCATCAATTACATAACAGCAAGATCTGTACCATTTTTTTCTCACCATAGGGCTACCACCATATTTATCTCAGTGTGGACAGTGATTAAATGTTGAGTATATAAATGACCATAGTTTTTTGTCAAGATAACTTATAAATCTGAATACAAAACCGTGGAAAAAATGTTGGTTGCATTGGGGAAGATCTTAATTGGCTTCCACAGGTGTTGGGCTTTTTCCCACAGGGCTTTAAAGGGAGTTTCCCAAAAACATCATAGGAACCCACCTCCCAGACAAGTCTGGGCTTTTTTACTCTGGTGATGGCTTTTCCTCTCTTACCAGCCCTCACTCACCTGGCCCTCTGTTTTTGTCATATCCCTCACAACCCTCCAGAACAACTTCCCTTCCTCCAATTAGGTGATCACAAATGGCTTAAAAATGGAACAACCTGCTTACAACAAAGATATATAACATAAGGTTTAAAAAATAACTATAATTATAAAAACACTTAAGAGAATTGGTTTTTCATAAATGAAGTTGAAATGATACTGATAGATTTCAGAGAAGAGAAATGTGAGATTGAAAGACCATTCACCTTAGAATGACCACAGAATTACAAAGTATAAAGAGTCCTTTATTGAAACACATTCCAATTCTTTGTCTTGTGAGGCAATTTATTGTACTACTTAACAACATCAGCTTTTGTGTCAGACTACTTTGGGTAGAAAACCTCCTTTTGACATGAATTAGATGTGTAATCCAAGAGAAGTTGCCTAACTACTCTTTGTCTTAGCAAAATAATATAACTAGTATTCAAGTTAAAGGGTTATTTAAGAATTAAAAGATTCAGTATATTAAAAGTGCTTAGAACAGGGCCTGGTACATGGCAAGAACTATGTGATCTGACAGAAAAACAGGTAGCTTTCTAAATCATTAAAAGATCCTTGCTGGAATACTGTTAAATGCAAAGTTCTTTAACCACAAAACGGGTAGAAGACAGTACATGTGAGGCCATGAACATGAATTCTGTTCACCCATCTAACATAAATTATGCAGATTCTTTTAATAATCATAACAAATCAGGACACAGTTTCTTAGCTATTCTTCAAAAAGGTAGTTTAGAAAATAACAAAACATTTATAGTAATTTTGACTTCAATCACAATATGCTGTATCTGTTCTACAATTCAAATTAAATTCCCTAGTATCATGGAAAGTAGAAATATGAAGGTCCTCAGAAGGTACAAACATCATAAAGAATGATGAAAGTGTTTAATGGAGGTGTCATCTCCTACACAATGTTCAACCCATGCCTCTGGAAACAGGAAGAAGAAATGTACCTATTTTCTTAAAAGATAGCCTTGGGTTTACTAAAAAGCAACTGATATTGATATTCAATAGAGCATATTTTAAATTCTATTAAGCAGATAAATTTACCCAGTGAGACCAAGTTGCTATAGTTCTCCATCATCACATCCCAATATAAGTCCCTCTGAGCTGAATCCAGATACTCCCATTCCTCTTGAGAGAAGTTGATGACCACATCCCTGAATGTCACCAATTCCTGAAACAACAAACCATATATAGGTGAAATTGAAGGAAATATTTTTGAGAAAAAAAGAAAACAATTGTATTATGGCAAGTAAACTAAACAGTAACCAAAGTAGGCCATGGGTGGAAGGTTATGGTATGGAAAGTAGGAAATAAATGCTCTGAAACAGAACTATACTTAATCCATTTGATTCAGAGAAAACTTCTTGAATACTATAGGATTTTTAAATTAGGTAAGCATGTCTGGAAATAAAAAGTTTACAAATTAAAAAAAATAGTGTATTCATGCACATTGCACACATACTACATGCCTGTTGCATGAGTTAATAACGGTGAGTTGAAATATCTTAGAAAATGAGATGTGAACACTACTTTATAATTTCTTGCAGACCCAAGTTCAATACTATGTTAAGTAATTATTTAACATGACCTGATCAGAACTTTTACCTCTAATGACAGACTATTTAATAAGTACTTTTTAGTGGCTATAGAGTAGTCTATTTGGTGAAAAAATACCGGCTTAATTTTATTTAGAGATTTACACTGGATAAGGTCTTCTCCAATTCTGTAACTCTACAATCCTCTATTTATCTATGACAGAGACCAGTCAAGATTAAATCCAGTCTACTGGAAACTCACATCTCTTCAGGAGAAGTACAGTTTGCCCATATGTAATCAAATGGATATATCTTTTTCTTTATCTAAGAAGTATGGTAAATGGGATTCCATTTCTACTCTATAGCTGCTATTGACAAAGACCTGAACAAGTAAGACCGCTGAACATCTTCTGGAGAATAGACCGGCACATAGGAGTTTTACTGTTATGCGCAGTTCCAACTCCCACTAGAAAGTAAAAACTTGAGAATGTGTGGCAGGCTCTATTTGGTAGGAAGGTTCAGAAAAAGGAAATGTTCACAAAGGAGACAGATCCAGCAACTTACATGGTCCATGCTTAGAATTGTAAAGAATTGGCCAGGGAATTCCATTTCTGCCATGACAGCGTGAGGAACTCTGATGACATGCTCCCCCGTCAAAACTGGTGAAAATTATATATAAAAATATATAGCAAATGAAAAAACATTTGTTCAGGCAAATCTAAAACCTATTGCAAGCTGAGAGATTGCAGTATCTGAACCAAACGCTCCCTTGTTCATCCCATCTTAGTGAGACAAATACTCCATTCCATATTGGTACAGTCAAGAACTCAGGCTTCCTCACTAAATGCTCCCTTGTTCATCCCATCTTAGTGAGAAAAATACTCCATTCCATATTGGTACAGTCAAGAACTCAGGCTTCCTCACTACTAGTTAGATGGCTATCTTTCTGGGAGAAGCAATACATCAACATTGCTCATCAGGAAAATGCAGCTAAGGGACAGAGATTTTCTTCTGTCTAGCAGCCACACACAAAATGCAATATGTACCTTGGGCGTGGCACTGGTGAGAATACTGGGGATGAAATGGATGAAAGTGTTCAAGGAAGGTACACATTTCCAGTTATAAAGTCAGTCAAGGAGATGTTAACGTCCAGGATAGTAATTATACTTAATGATACTGTGTTACATGTTTGAAAGTGGCTAAGATGGTATATCTTAAAAGTTGTCATCAGAAGAAAAAAGGTTCTCAGAATAGGGTGATGGATGTTCACTGAATTTACTTTGGTAATCATTTTGCAGTATATACCTATGTTAAATCATATTGTACACCTAAAACTAATAGGTTATATGCCAATTATATCTCAATAAAGCTAAAAGAAATAAAGAATAATGGTTAAGGCAACTAAAAGGCAAATATATAAGCCAGTAGTATTGTATTTTGTGTTTGCTGTTCCTCCTTTTTTGCAATGTCTTTAAAGACCTCATAAAATGTAATTAGAAACCTATTTAAAGGGCACATGATATATAAAGTTATAAAGATTGGAGCAATTACAGGAGCAAAATATTTCCATACTATAAATAAATAAAATCTTTAAAAAAAAATAAAAGTTGATCAACAACCTAACTATAAGACCTAAAAATATAAAACTCCTATAAGAAACTATAGGAATAGGGGATCCATGGGTGGCTCAGCGGTTTAGCGCCTGCCTTTGGCCCAGGGTGTGATCCTGGAGTCCCGGGATTGAGTCCCATGTCGGGCTCCTGGCATGGAGCCTGCTTCTCCCTCTGCCTGTGTCTCTGCCTCTCTCTCTCTCTCTCTCTCTCTGTCTGTCTATCATAAATAAGTAAATAGGGATCCCTGGGTGGCACAGCGGTTTGGCGCCTGCCTTTGGCCCAGGGCGCGATCCTGGAGACCCAGGATCGAATCCCACATCGGGCTCCCGGTGCATGGAGCCTGCTTCTCCCTCTGCCTGTGTCTCTGCCTCTCTCTCTCTCAATCTGTGACTATCATAAATAAATTTAAAATTTTTTTTAAATAAATAAATAAATCTTTAAAAAATAAACTAAATTTAAAAAAAAAAAAACTATAGGAATAATCCTCATGACCTAAATTTCTATGCAGTGAAGGTTTGACTCACCAGGTTTGAAATGTTTAAGCCCTGCCCATTCCAAACAGAAGTGTAGGTCCTTAACCAGCTCCTGGTTGATTACCTCTAGTCCCTGGAATATCTGGCATTTAATGATTTTAATCTTTATCTTGCACTGGAAACAAACATAACTGAGTATAACAGCTTTTCTGACTTCTGTGAGTCCTTCTAGCAAATCACTGAACCTGAGAATGGTCTTAGGACCTCCGAATAAAGTTGGCTTTATTTCAAACAGTTCATCATAAATACAGATCTTTAATTCAAATCTATAGGATAAGTGCTAAGAAAATGACCAAATGGTATAATGAATAGTAAAAAAAAAAAAGGAATGAAATGGTATACTACAAAAAAAATCAATGGAACACAGAGGAAGTCATTGTTTAGGGATAGAAAGCAAAGAATATACAGTATAAATAGAAAACAAGTAGAAAAATGATAGAAGAGCAAGTCCTCAGTTATTACATTAAATGCAAATCGATTAGACTCTTCAACTAAAAGACAGAGATTGAAAGAATGGATAGAAAATATGATACAAATGTACTTAAACTTCTATATCTAAAGATATAAAAAGATATAAAAAGATAAAATAAAAAAAATAAATAAAAAGATAAAATATTTTTATAAGATAAGAAACCTCTCATATGTTGATAAAGGTCAGCCTATCAAGAAGATAAGACTCGGAAGATATATCCTTAAAGCCCCAAAACAAATGACATGATTGAGGAAAGAAAGGTTGTTTTGTTTTGTAAGATTTATTTATTTATTGGGGCACCTGAATGGCTCAGTCAGTTAAGTGTCTGACTCGATTTTGGCTCAGGTCATGATCTTCAGGTCATGAAACTGAGCCCTGCCTCAGGCCCCTGCACTCAGATTCCACTTTCATCCCCCACCCCCACCCCACCTGTACTTGCATGCATATGTTCTCTCTCTAAAGAAAAAGAATTCCATTTGTAACAGTCCAAAAGAATAAAATATTTAACAAAAATGCAAACTGTGTACTTTAAAAAATACAAAATGTGGGACCCAAGAAATTCAGAAAATGTCCCCCACCCCTGGCCCCTAGATGAGTAACAACTGTGGCCTCTAGCCCAAGTCAATTCCAAGAAAAACCGCAGAGCACACCCTTAATGGAAAGTTCCATATCGGGATGAGGAAATAAGAGCTTGAGAAACCCCCCAACCCTTACTGGAAATCCCCTAGAACCAGCCTATAAAAATCCAGCTGTAACCCACCTCGGGGTCCAAGTTCCTGCTCGGCTGTGATGGGTATACTTGGACCAAGCTCGAGCTTGCTAAGCTTGAGCACCCTCGTGTGCTTACATTGGTGTCGGCTCCTTGGTGGTTTCTCGGATTCAATCTTGGGGACAAGACAAAACACTAGTGAAAGAACTTAAGTTGAAAGCTATCCCATGTTTATGAACTGGACTACTAGGCCGTACGATCGCAATATTCCTCAAAACAATCTACATATTAAATGCAACCCCTGTCAGAGTCCCAGCTGGCTTCTTTGTAGAAACTGACATGCTTTTAAATTCATACGAAACTGCAAGAGATTCGGAATAACCAGAAGTCTGGAAAATAAATTATTAAGGCTAGCATTTCCCAGTCCAAAAGTTACAAATCTACAATAATCAAACCAATTGAACATTGCCGTATTAGATTGATAAACAGAATGGAACTGAACGGAAATTAAACCCACATATCTCTATAGTCAATTGACTTTTTAAATATTTATTTACTTTTGAGAGAGTGGGGGTAGGGCCAGAGGGACAGGCAGAGTAGGAATCTAAAGCAGACTCCCACCCGAGTGGGCATCCCCATGCTGGACCATGAGATCATGACCTGAGTCAAAATCAGGGTCAGATGCCTAACTGACTCAGCTACCCTAGGCACTGCAACTGATTTTTTTTTTTAAGATTTTATCTATTTATTAACGAGAAAGAGGGAGAGAGGCAGAGACCCACACAGAGGAGAAACAGGCTCCGTGCAGGGAGCCGGATGCAGGACTTGATCCGGGAACTCCAGGATCCCGCCCTGACCCAAAGACACCCAACCGCTGAGCCACCCAGGCATCCCACTGCAACTGATTTCTTTCTTTCTTTTTTAAAGATTTATTTATTTATTTATTCATGAGAAACACAGAGAGAGAAAGAGATAGGCAGAGACACAGGCAGAGGGAGAAGCAGGCTCCATGCCAAGGAGCCCGACGTGGGACTCGATCCCAGGCCTCCAGGATCACACCCTGGGCTGCAGGGGGCGCTAAACCGCTGCGCCACCGGGGCTGCCCCTGCAGCTGATTTCTGACAAGAGTTGCAAAAACCTTTCAATGGGTAAAGGACAGTCTTTTCAACAAAGAGTGCTAGGAAGGGGCGCCTAGGTGGCTCAGTTGGTTATGTGTCTGCCTTCAGCTCAGGTCATGATCGCAGGGCCCTGGGACTGAGCCCTGAATAGGGCTCCTTGCTCAGGAGGGAGACTGCTTTCTCCCTCTCCCTCTGCCTGCTGCTCCCCCTGCTTGTCCTGTCAAATAAATAAATAAAATTTTTAAAAAATGAAAAAAAATGGTGCTAGGAAAACTGGATATCCACATACAAAAGAATGAAAATAGACCCTTTCCTTACAATATATATACATAAATGAACTAAAAATTGATCAACAGGGACGCCTGGGTGGCTCAGCGGTTGAGTGTCTATCTTTGGCTCAGGGTGTGATCCTGGAGTCCTGGGGATGGAGTCCCACATCGGGCTTCCTGCATGGAGCCTGCTTCTCCCTCTGCCTCTGCCTCTGTCTGTGTGTTGTGTGTGTCTCATGAATAAATAAATTTAAAGGAAAATTGATCAACAACCTAAGTATAAGACCTAAAAATATAAAATTCATATAAGAAACTATAGGAATAATCATCATGACCTTAAATTCGGCAGTGGGTGCTTAAGACACCAAAGCACAAAAGAAAAAAATGGAAAGATTAAGCTTCATAAATATTGAAATCTTCTGTGTATCAAAGAAAATTACTGGAAAAACTGAAAAGACAATCTACAGGATAGAAAGTATTTGTAAATGATATACTCGATAAGGGTTTAATAGCCCCATTATATAAAGACTCCTACAACTCAAGAACAAAAAAGCTGGCAAAAGATTTCAGTAGACATTTCTCAGAAGATATACAAATGTTATAAGCACATGGAAAAAAATTCTAAAAGTCTTGATCAGGGAGGGAAATAAGTATCAGAACCACAATGAGAAAGTGAAAGCAGCAAGATGTCAGACTTGGAAGCTCTAGGCCCTTCAGAATCAAAGAATAAAACTAAAAACTAAAAATTAAATTCTAGAACTGGCTAAAATAAAAAGTTTAAGATTTTATTCATTTATTCATGAGAAACACAGAGAGAGGCAGAGGAAGAAACAAGCTCCACGCAAGGAGCCCGATGTGGGACTCGATCCCGGGACTCCAGGATCACGCCCTAGGCTGAAGGCAGGCGCCAAACCGCTGAGCCACCCAGGGATCCCTAAAATATTT